CGGGCCGCGGCCAGTGCCTCAGCCTCGGGCGCCGGCTCCTTGTTCGGCTCAGCTGCAGCAGCGCCCGCCGCCGCCATGTTTGAGCTTCCGCGCCACCGCTCGGAGCTCCTCGGCTCTCTCCGGAAACTGTCGGCGCTGCTTCGGCTCGCTCCGGAAATCCTCGGACCTCTCCGGCTACTCGAACCTCGACAGTTCCGCCTTATGGAAGTGGTTCCGCCTCCCAACCTTGAGGCTCTTCTTGAAGCCCGTGGCCTGGCTTCCCAGCTCCTCGGCCATCTCCTCAAGCCCTCAGCAACTCTCGATAAGCCCCTCTTCCCACTCCTCTGTTCTTTCTGGAAGCCATTGGTGACTCTCCCGGTCGGCTTTGATGGCCCCGCCTCCCAACTGTTCGGCTGTTGCCGGAAAGCTTCAGTGCCTCTCGCGAAAAATGTTCGGAATCGGCTTTCCTCTGGAGTCTTTCTGGATCCCGGGAAGTTGCACTCTACAGGAGTTCTTTTGGGAACTCATCGTCCCTGGACTCCTGAATTCCCTCCAAAAGGGGCTCACACTAGTCGGAGTCCGGTGTGGCATGTGTCCGACATCGTCTTTAGAGCTAGGATAATAATAGCTACCGTTTACTGAGTGCATTCAGGAAGAATAAGGTTAAATGATGAAAATCCATCTTACAGAAAAAAAAAAACCTGAGAGTCAGAGAAAGTGGTGGGATATGAGGCTGAGGAGGAGGAAGTGGGATCAGGAAAATTTTTCCAGAGGAGACAGAACCCACCCCGAGTTGGGAGTGATTTACAAATTTTTACTGTTTGTTTTAATAGCAAGCTAATACAGGCTATGACAAATTCTTACAATACACAATTTTGCACACGTGAAAAATTAAAGAACACCTGTCCCTGTCACCAATCTGCCCCACCAGCAATCATCGTATGAAGTTGTTTTCCAGATTTTTTGTTGTTGTTATATGTGTACTGTCACACATAGGGGAGCCAGCCTCAAGTTCCTGTCACACTGTGTGATGCAGCAACAAACATTATTTCTCTAAGTTTCAGATTAATCATCTTTAGAAAAAGGATAATCAGTTTAACTTTAGCATTGTTCATTATGCTTAAATAAGATGTTGCTTTTGAGGGGCCCAGTGGATTGCATACACTATTCATGTGTTCATTTTCCTTCCCCCATCATTGGTACCCTGTTTGAAATGATGAAGAAAGGCCCTTTGGTCTGAGGGTTGCTATGACACCAACCCTCAGCTCCAGAGGCACTGCATTTCATTCATACACAGGGCAGGTCACCTTTTCAAACATGAGACTCTTTGTGTTGGCATAATGTGGTTTCCAGCAACTTTCATCAGCCCAGCCTACTTGAAGTTCACCCAGAACCAATTCTATTTATAGTGCCCAATTTTCCAAGTTTTTAATTTCATTATCATAATTGTTAGTGTCCACTCGGTCATCTCCATGGTTACCAAATCTGCCTGAACCCCTCTGTCTGGCTGTTAGCATAACTGACACGTCTTGCGTCCTTCCACTGACCCTAGCTGGGGCTATGTTGTGTAGTAAATCTCTTCTCTGTCATCAAGGGTTTTGTAGTTAATAGATATTGTTTAATGATCTTTAGGTCCATGTGGCCTCTATACTCTGTTAGCCTCCAAACAATGATGAAGACCTTTGCTGACATATTCCTGGCACCTACAAGGCTAATTACCCATTCATAAATCTTGACTTAGGAATGCACTTCCTGATTCCAAGCATGTACCCCTATATCCTAGGTTAACTATAAAATTGTCTCAATGGCCCCTCGAAGTTTCAGAGTACAGCTGCAAATGCTGCTGGATTGCTGTCCACCTGATCCTTCCCTGTAAGTTACCCTATAATAAATTGAACCATTGATTATATGGAGCTTCCTGTCTCGTTTTTCATTCTCAAGATACCTTCCTTCTCAGTTCGAATGAACACTTTTCATTCCCTCTTACCTCCTATACCCTCCTTTGGAAAATCCACTGTGCAAACATATTCACAGCCCCAGGCTTGCTATGGCCAGACTAGTTCTGGCTTCTGTGGTAGGAAACTAGTTTAAAACCTTTCAGTGGCTCCCCACTGTGCTTCAGATAAAGACCCATGAGGTCCTCCATGGGGCCCTATGTCCCTCTTCCAGATTCATCCTCCACCAAACTCTTTTTTGCTCTCTGATCTTCAAACACATTTGCCTTCTCTTGGTCTTTCACTCTTGCCAGGCTCCTTCTTGCCACTGGGCCTTTGCACCTGCTATTTCCCATGTTAGAAGTGCTCTTCCCTCCCCTTGTTGCCTAGATCCATCTAGGCATCCTTCCATTCTCAGCTCAAATGTCACTTCCTCAGGGAAGTCCTCTCTGACTTTTCATAGGAGGGAAAGCCCAACCTTTGTAATTCCTGGTGTCCCTCAATCTCTCTTCTTTTGCATTGCTTTTTTGTTTATTTGTATGACTATTTGATTAGTGGCAGGACTTAGTTCCTCACAGGCTGTTGATCTGAGGGCCTTAATTCCTTCCTGCCTATTGCCTGCAGGCCACCCTCAATTCTGGCCACATGGGCCTCTCCATCGGGCAGCTCACAACACAGCAGATGGCTTTGTCAGAGTGAGTGAGTAAGAGATCAGGAGAGGATGAGCAAGGTGGAAATCACCATCTTTTATAACCTGATCTCTAGAAGGACAATCACTTTTGCTGTAGTCTGTTTGTTAGAAATGAGTCGCCAGGTCCTGCCTCCCCTCAAGAGAAGTCATTTCCAAAGATGTCTACCAAAAGGCCTGATTAGAACTTTTCCTTTCCCATTTGGGGCAACAAGTGAAGAAGGATTCTCTATTCTCTAGGGTAGACAGAACCTAACAGCAGGCATGCAAACATCCTCATGACTTAAGACAAATCACAGAGATCAACAAAGACTGCATGCCCTTTTTCATCATATAATTTCTACAAGTTATCTGAGGAGTGGAACAGCCCTGGCTTTTCTGTACCAGGTCTCCGTGACAATTCCACATACTCACCTGAAGGAGTAATTGTCACATGGAAAAGATCAAGAGGCATTCTTGGGCCCTTCTCCATACCAGAAAGGCAGTAGAGCATGACAGAGAAGATCCTGGTGTTTCCCATAAGCTTGATACTAGAGTGTATCCTTGAGCACTACTGATTTTATTTGTTTATTATGCAAGCAAGTTACCTCACCTCCCATTGCCTCAGTTTCCTCATCCATAAAATGGGTAAATTCTAATAATCCCAATCTCATTAGGCAGTTGTAAATACATGTAAGGTGCTTAAATCAATCAACCCTCAATAGTTTAAAACTACTGTTTCTGATTACTATTGTGGCATAACAATTTACTCTGAAACTTTGCAACTTAAAACAACCATTTAATTATACTTGTGGAATTTGTGAGTCAGGGCTTCAGACTGGGAACAGTAGGGATGGCTTGTCTCTGTTCCACAATGCCTGGGACCGCGGTTGGAAAGATTTGAGGGCTGGGCGCCAGAATCATCTGAAGGCTGGTTCTGAAGCCGGTGCTGGCATGGCTTAAAGGCTGGGACCACTCACTGGAGCAGCCACACATGACCTCTCTATGTGCCTTGGGCTTCCTTACAGCATGGTGGCCTCAGTGTGGTCAGACTTCTTAGAGGCTCAGGGTTCTGGGTGCCAATGTCCCAGTGACTCAGCCTTAGAAGTCATACAGTGCCACTCTGTGTAACCTACTGGCCAGAGCAGTCACAAGCCCACCTAGATTTCAAGGGAAGGAACAAAAAATTTTGAAGCCAGATTTTCAAACTGCCCCAGCTATTATTACTTTCAGAACTGGACACGGGTCCCCTGGCTCAGAAGGCCATGTCAATGCTGTCTTCATTGCTGAGATGCGTATCTGTGTCTGTGGTACCTGATTTCTGCTAGGTGAGGGCATGGCTACTCATGCATGTGAATGAATGTGTCTACGTGTGAATACACAGTGAGAGGTTGGAACAGCCATGTGAGTGCTAAGTCTGTATATGTGTTTTTGCCTAAGAGTGAAAATTAGCGGGGGTGTCCTCAGCCTGGCTCCTTTCCAGAAGTCCAAGCTTTTATATCTAACTGCCCATCTGTTTCCACATGGATGCCTCATGAGCACCTTAGACGTCACACAGCCAAAACAGAACTCCAGATCTCCTTTCCTGCCGCAAGCTGCTCCTCTCCCAGTCTGTTGGCGCTTATCCAGTCTGTCTCTGATCTGCTAACTTTTCTCCATCCCCACTACTATCACCAGAGTCCAAATCAACTTTACCTCTCACCTTGCAACAGCCTCCCAAGTGGTCTCCCTATTTCCACCCTTGCTCCCTAAATAACCTGCTAGAACTCCCCAATTATTTCTGTGTCCATTGGAAAAAAATCACATGCTGACCCTGGCCTCCCAAGAATTTCAATAATCTGGCCTTTGCCAACCCTTCCCTCGGGCTCCATCTCCCTCCACTCTCCCTCTCAGCCCCTGTGCTCCAGATGCTATGACTTCATTTCTGTTCTTTATGCTCCACAAGCTCCTTCCCGCAGGACTTTTGCCTTTGGTCTTTCTTTTTAAGACCTCAGCTTAAAAATCCCCTGCTCAGAGCAGCCTTCCCAGAGACAGCTCCCCAACCCCAGAAACTCCCTGCTTCCAGTTAAAGCAACGACCTGTGCCTGCCTGACCCATCACCCTAGCTCAATTCTCTACCTGGCCTGTGTCATTGTTATTTCTCTTAGTTATTTATCTTCTTCCCCATCAGAAAATAAACTCCACAAGAACAGAAATATCGGTCCGTCTGGTTCTCCCAGCCCATCCTCAAGGCCTAGGACAGTGCCTGAGGGCACATGGGAGGTGTCCAAACGCGCGTGTCCAATGAATGGATGATGAATTCTTGGGAGAGTGAGCAGCTGAAGTGTGTGTGTGTGTGAGAGTCAGTGTAGACGCAAGAGTGTCTGTGTGTGTGTACACAAGCTGGCTGGAGAGACCAGACTAGCGTGGACTGCAGCGATGGGGGTGGTCTCCTTCCTGCTGGGAGGATGGCTTGTGGGGGTCCTCCCTCAAGGGATGACAGTGGGTGGGGTTCCCCCCACGGGGAGGAGGG